AAATATCTGAAAGCTCCAAGGTCCTCTGAAGTCAGGATAGCTAATGTAAGTATGGGTTGGTGGTCTCATGGGGCCATGAAGTCATGACTCCCCTTAAATATGTTATTAATTTCTTGGGGCCTCACTTCTTCACTTGTAAAATTGGGAAATTACCCCAGCCCAAGATGGCAGGTGCCTTTGGCTCATGTTGGTGATATTCATTTTGAAGAGTATTTCTCTTCACTATTCTCTCTCTCTCATAACTCTGGGCATGATTTTAATCATAAACATAGGAGCAAGTTAATCAAAGAAAGATGTGTTCAAATTTCCAAATGAGCTGAGAGCTATTCTAAATATTGTAGGTTCGAAGGCATTCCCAGAGCACTGGCACTTTATCTGATCATATTCCAATAAAGGCTGCCTTTGGCATAAGGCTTTAAAAACATGGTAAGGGTCATTCCCATTTGGAAAAAGTTCAGTTTTTATCCTTTTTTTTCCCTCTTCTTTTTCCTCATATATCAAAGGGCTTTATCTCTCTCATATTCCCTCCAGTATTGGTGTATGTTTGAAGTCATTCCATGATCACATTAGTATATGTTATTTAGAGTCTGTCAACCTCACAAAAGGACAGTAAGGCTTTATTTTACCACCATTCATCAAAGTTCTGACAGACTATTCTGTAGAAAGAGGAGAGCAGTGAGAACTCCGAGTTTCCTCGCCAAGCTAAATGTGACTTCCATGGAAGCTTGGGCATCTTAATGCGCCCAGGCAAGGAGAATCAACAGATGCACAGCCCTGGACAAGATAAACTCTGAACTCACTCACAGAAAAGCTATCTTAGGCCCTTCCAGCCTGGTATTCTGACTCAAGAAAGAGTACCTGTATACATCCTATGGGACAGAATGACCCCTAAACCCTGCCTGAAATCTGTGATTCCCAATGGAGAATGAAGAATGATCATATCCAAAGATCTGAGAGCCTTTGCAAACTACACCTGTCCAGAAGCAGTTCTTTTTTTCTCTAGGGAGAATCGGAATCTAGAGAAAGGTACTGTGGGCAGTCCTTATAAAAGTTCCCACAGGGCTTTCATACTTGGGGGAGCACTGGTACCCACATAGGAACTTGCATGTGCACTCACATATACATACACATTCTCCCCCTGCTTAAAAAAATGCCCTGAGGAATTCTAATAAATTATCCATTCAACCATCTGAACAGCCTGAGAACCTATTCATAGTCACCCTACCATTCTTCTTCTAGGGAGTAGAATGTCAATGGCGTGTCAAGTAATACAGTAATCAAAGAGCATCTAGAAACTTCAGAGGCTTTGTTCTTCTGTTCTTCTGAATAGTGGAGCTCTCCAAATAGCTAAAGATCTCCCCACTGAAGCACCAAGCCTTTTTTTCCCCCAAAATAAGATTTCAGCAATTTTGGACATGAAACTCTCTGAAATTTTATTGCATGTATTCAGTTTCCTGAATATAATTTAACCTCACCTTCATAATTCAAGGCTCTTATCATAAGCACCAATTTCCGTACTGGGGCTAGAAGAGGGAGTTGATTCCTGAAGGCTGCAAAGACCACCAAATGGCTGCTGAAGGCAAGTGGAAAGTCAGAGAACAAGCCAAAAATGGGACTCCAAATAAAGACACCGTGGCAGACGTCAGGAGCCAGGTGGGATGCCATAGCTATCTGGGCTGGGTTAGCTATAAATAGGGTAAGATTTAGAAAAAGCATCTACAACAAGCATTGTGTTCATTCTGTGACCTGATTTTCCTGGCTAGCATCACCAAGGTGCATGGGCAAAAACCTCGAGTCTAATGCATCATCTGCTTCTGTCAAAGCGTCTACCTCCAGCCCTCCCCTTCTAATTCAGCGCTTCTAATTTCTCGTGGTCCTAGAGATGACCAACCTGGTCACAAGTGAATAAAGGGCCAAAGGCTGCTTTTCTGCTAACTCAGCTGGGGGTGTGCTTTGTGTCTTCTATGAGGGTGGTCAGGGGTCTCTGACTTCCTTCCTAGTCGTGTTTCAGAAGGTGAGACTGTTGCCTCACTGAGCTCCAGACTGATAAGGAGTTGTTGCCTTCCTTACTTTCCCTCTAAAAGTATCTTCCTCCAGGTTCCTGTGTTCAGTGACAGTGAATCAGCCCACGCTCACCCTCCTCATACAGTATGCTTCCATCGTAGGCTGTACCTTTTCCAACTGGGGACTCCAATCTGTGAGGATCTTGCTGCCCCAGCAATGGGAGAGCCGGTGCGGCAATAACCTCGGAGAAGGTACACAGCCACTAAGAAGTCAGTAAGGAAGAAGTCACTAAAGGTCCTCTAAATTACCAGCCTCGAGGGACACATCCTTTCCGGGCGATGAGAGGGTCTCCGAGAGTAAGGCAAGTGATCGGTAATTCTGCTATCATCAGAGGCCACCCCTTGGAGCACGGGGTCAGGGGCCTAAGAATAACAGTGACTTGGCAGCTTATCTTAGAGGCAACAAGACATAAAAAATCTTGCCTTCAATTTACTGAAGTCAGGCAGTTGAAAAGGAGCCAGAGAGAACAATCCATGATGCTCCTATCATCCATATACAGAGACATATAAAAGCAATTTTATTGAAAAAGAAGAAAAGAGAGAACATGGAATCATGTTTTGTTTGTTTGTTTGTTTTGTTTGTTTTTTAAGATTTTACTTATTTGCGAGAGAGAGAATGAGAGACAGAGAGCATAAGAGGGAGGAGGGAGCCCGATGTGGGACTCGATCCCAGGACTCCAGGATCATGACCTGAGCCGAAGGCAGTTGCTTAACCAACTGAGCCACCCAGGCGCCCACGGAATCATGTTTTTGTTTTTGTTTTTGTTTTTATTCTTTTTTTTAATTACCTTGAATTATATATCTGGCTACCTTTGATCTAGCTTCTTTTTCAGAGAACCCAGTCTTTGCTTTCCCTCCAGATATCAAACCACCCTCTGACTGGCCTAGTTTCTCTTATTTTTCTTCCATTCTGGCTGGTACTGAGGCAAAGAGGAAGGGAAAGCACAGGACGTGGTGAGGAGCGAGCACCTGGGAGTCACAACTGGGTTGGTATGACCACCCTGCCACTTCCTAGCTGTGTGATCCTGGCCCAATGATTTACTTTCTCTTTGACGCAGCGTCTTGCTCTGTGAAAAGGAGGAAGAACACAGTAGTAGAAAGAATACCTTCAATGGGTGAATGCGGTCAAAAAGGTACAAACTTCCAGCAGTAAGACAGATAAGTCCTGGGGGTATGATGTACAGCATGGGGACCGTAGCTATAACAATGCTGTAGCGTATATTTGAAGGTTGCTCAGAGAGTACATCTTAAAAGTTCTCACCCCGGGGAGGGGGGGGAATGCCTAAGTATGTGAAGTGATGGATGTTAACTGAACTTATCATGGTAAACATTTTGCAATATCTACATACCTCAAATCACTATGTTGTACACCTTAAACTAATATCATGTCATATTGCAATTATATTTCAGTCATTTTTGGAAAAGAAAAGAATACCTCATCATGCCAGCTTCACAGGATAGTTGTGAGTATTAATGGAGACAATATTTATAACACGCCTAACAAAGTCTCTGGTACCCAGGAAGCTGACGCAGGCGCTACTCTACGTGGCTGAAAGCAATGGCTGCCCTCACGGTGCTCTCAGAACATGCATTGGGATCTGAGGTTCTCCAAGAAGAGGTCCTTGGGGATTCATTTTAGTAAGTAAGAATTATTTTTCATGAACACACAAGTAAACTTGAAGACTCTTTTCTCTTTTTATAACTTTTAAAACTTATTCTCTGTAATCTCATATACAACATTTATGAGTATGGTAATCCCCCATTCTCATAAAAAATACAAAGAAAATTCTCATCCAAATTGTCAACGTTTCCAAATGTTTAGAATCCAGAGCAACCAGAAGTTTCTGCAAACAGATGTCAATTCCTTTCTCTTCCTCAAGTAAGCCCCCTTTTTAGTCATATAGTCGCCCATGCCTCCTCCTTAGCATCGTGGTTCTCTTGGTGTTTTCTTGACACTTTGTAGTTTCCCTCCATACACTCTCCCTGGAGGGCAAGCTTCTCCCAGTCTCCCCTCAGCTCCAGTGTCTCCTGAGCACCATCTATGTGGTGCCCTCAACAGGCCCCTTCAAGGTTCTGTTTTTTTGTTTTTAAGATTTTATTTATTTATTTTTGTGAGAAAGAGAGAGAGAAAGAGAGAGAGAGAGAGCATGAGCCAGGGGGAGGGGCAGAGGAAGAAGCAGACTCCCTGCCCCACAGGGAGTCTGATGTGGGATTTGATCCCAGGACCCTGGGATCATGACCTGAGCTGAAGGCAGAGGCTTAACCCACTGAGCCACCCAGGCACCCCAAGGCTCTGTTTTTGCAAGGGTTGCTCGTCTGTCAAGAATGATCATCCCTCATCCTGTTTTAACAGATGCTTCTTAAGGCCCTGCTCGGATGTCAACTCCCTGGTGAAATCTCTTCAACTCTGCTCTCTACACGCACTGTTCCTATGACGCTAAGACACACGTAAGTCACTCATGCACAGGTCTGCCTCCCTCCTCTGACTCAGGGCTTTCAGAGCAGTGCCTGAAAGTGTGTACGAATCGCCCAAAGGTCTTTTGAAAAATGTAGATTCTGCTCTACACTTTGTGCGTTCTGATTCAGTGAGTCTGGGATGGGGCCTGAGATGCTGCAGCTCCCGAAGCTTCTCGATAATGTGGATCTACTGCCCTGTAATCCACTTAAGAAGCTTTTAAGAACCTTTCTGAAATGTCAGTGACTTGGCACTTCATCATCATCATCATCATCATCTTTTAACTCAGCTGCCAGCAACTGTACTTAGGAAGATGAAAGAGACTCTACACCGATGGCAGAGTAATGACAAATGAGAGCCCCTCTCACGACTGTGAACGGACAGCATGGTTTCTATCAGCTCAGAAAATTGATAATGGCAGAAGGTATTTTACTCTTAGACTTCAAACTGACTGTCCACCAAAACAACCACACAAAAGTTACCTGATACAGTTCGATCCGTTGTTCGGGCACTCTGGCTTTTGGGTTCTGCAAACGAAAGACTCTGAACTCTGCTTTCACCAAATTGGATGCATTCTTCTCCATCGCCGAGACGTCAAATCGGACAATTCTGAAGTAGGGTCTGTAGAAAGTGGGCGGGATGGCATCTGTAAAAAGTTAGGGTAATCATTGAAAATGATAAAACCCATTGTTCTCTCAAAAAAGACCGTGAGGCATGAGATCGTCTCAAGAAAACATCAGGGAAATATCTACAGAATGATTTCGTTTCCAAGGGCCAATTTAATACCATTAACAATTTAACCGGGGGGGGGGGGAATAAATAAACATGTGCATTTGGTTACAGGAGTCGCAGATTAATAGAGATTAACAAACCACTTCCAACTCCATTTGAGGGCATGCAGTTAACCCTATCCTTTGAAAGTTGACAAAGCAGTGGAAAATCCTAGACGGTTATGAATTGGAACAAGTTCGTGACAGTTGATGCCTAGAGAGAGCTGTCGGGCTTGCATACACTTTAATCAGATGTGCCAAGAAAACAGCTCCTAATGGCAAGCAGTTTGCCCATGTATTTTTTTTCCTTGAAGTTTTGGCATCAGAATACTCTACTCTATCCAGGTTCATGTATTGCATCTTTTTTGGCTTCAATAGTTTGGTTTTTCATACACATATGACCAAATACACCCTCTAGTGAAGTTAGGGTGAGAAAATCTGGATTAAAAAAAAAAAAAACTATACCCACATACTGGTTATCCTGGCTAATGACGAGAAAGAGTCAGCCCCAGCTCCTTCAGTTCTAAGCCCCAGAAAACACAAAGAGACAGATAGTACACAACAATTTCAAGGTCATGGGTTGCTAGAGGTCTGCTGTTATTTTGCAGTAATATGCCACCACCTTTGAATAAACACCTGAGCACCAACAAAACCAAAGCAGGTCCTAATCCCAGCCACATGCTTCATATGCAGCACCCGTTTATTGAGCATGTACACTGGGCAGGCCACTTGTTCCAGATGTTTCTACAATTCTCCTCCCACATCTTCTGCAAACCTTCTTTCATTATTCTGGAATGCTCCGTTCAAATCGGGTAGCTCCAGTACTTTCTACCCTCTTCTCAACTATGTAGCTTCATTACAACATAATCATTCACAGTTGTTTATGGCTTTTTACAAGTGTTTTTATTACTTCTGCATTATGTTTGTTTATTTTGTTTTCCCCCGTGAAATTTTAAGAATCTTGAGGGCAGAGACCAGATTTGCCAGGTCTTCCTTCCCCCTGCCCCCCACCCGCCCATCCCTAGGACAGGGCCCTGCACACATGGAATTCACCAAGGATCCACTGTTTGCATAGTTGGTCATCAATGGGAGGCTTGAAAGACTCGGCCATCTGGCTATTGGCAAGACTAACTTCTTATTTAATAACTTCTTATTAAATAAACAAGCCATGTTGCCGATCTTAAAATAGAAATAAATACCTTTCGTGATTTCTGGGGAAGCCCGTGCCCTGACGATGAGACTGAAAAAAAAAAAAAATGCTAGGAACACACCGCCCTTCGCTGATGTTAAGAGCTCGGCAGTCTTTTCCCTCAAGGGGGCTTACCCCCATCCCGCCCCGTTGTCCTGTGACTCTCAGAAGGCTTCTGAGGAAGCGGTGAATTCCTCCCAGCCATGCCCCGCACCTAGGGTGACGGCCTCGCAAACGACCGACCGACCCTGTGAATGGAAGCTTTGTAGCTCGTGAGCCAGGCGTCTCCGAAACAAACAAACAAAATAAAAACCCCCAAAAATCTAAAGCATCCAGGTGTCAGAGAAAAGAAAGTATTCATGCAGACACAGTGATGGCCCAGCGCATTACGACTGTGAACGAGCCGGTGGACAGTTTTCAGGCAGACAAACATTTCTACAAGTAGTAGCCAAGGTTTCCCAGAGCCCCCCGAGCACTGCGATTGAAAAAGCTCGCTGCTGGGAAGAAATTGATCTTTCTCTCCTCTGGAACATGCCCAGCCCAGGTGATTGGACAAGCTGGTCCTGGCCTGACCAGCTCGGCTGCCAACAGGCCAGATGCCCAGGCAGAGAAGCTGGGGCAAGGCTGGAGCCAGGCTCTCTGGCTTCCTACACCCTAGAGTTCGGCCAGAACCTTCCACAAGGCCTAGTGGCTGCATTCATCTTCACACGGCCTCCCCATTAGACAGCAGAAGCTCCAGACATGCTCCGAAAGAGCATCCTGCAAGAGCAAAGCTGATTCAGAGCGGTTCCTGTCATTAGGCCGAGTAAACATCTCGTGAGCTGTTTGCCCCTCTTCATTCAGCAGAACCCCCACAGGCCGGTTCTCCTTCCCCAAACCCCCATCTTTCACACCCACCCGCCCCAACCTCATCCTTCCATCGAGTTTGTAAATAAGTGCTCTTGAGATTTATTTTTATTCTCTTTTGTGTTTATGAAACTTTGAGCGATTTTTTTTTTTTCCCTTTTCTGGTCTTCTGCCCAAACTCACTCTTTCTTTTTATGGCTGCTTCGGACCATGAGGTCAATTTTGTTTCCTCTTCTTCTAAGCAAATCGTCCAATGATCCTGTCCTAGGCTTTTGAGCTTGGAAGGGGCGTTTGCAAATATTTACAGGAGGAGCTTGACGCTCAAGTGCCCCTGGACTCTGCTCCCTATACACTGGCGAGCAGCCCTCCTCCCCTCTGGCGCCTAGAACCCATCCTGCGAGCTCCGTTTCAGGGTCTGATAACACAGACCCGCGTCTGGGAGCTTCTTGCTTTAGAAGCACAAGGAGTTCAGGCACGAAGGGAAAGGCCCACGCAGCAGCCCCTACCAGCAACTCTGCTTTGGTCTCGTCACCACAGTGCAGGGATCCGGCCAAGAGGAAGCCGCAGCCTCCCCCCACACCTCTGCTCCAGCACACCCGAGCAGCAGAGCCCTCCATAAAGACTGTTGACCAAAAAGAGCTGACGACCGCTTCCAAGGGCTGGTTGCAGCCATCCCCTGCTGTCATCTGCTTTGGGTCACCAGCCCCCTGCCTGGCGGAGGAACTTGAGCGACTTGGCAAATGTATCTGCATTTGGGCGGGGTGGGGGGGGTGGGGGAAGCGTCACAGCAAATTGCTCTGGCCGGGGCTGTGACCCTACCCTTACCTCATCAAAGCTCTGGGAGGCACAGTGAGGAGAGAGCCTACCGCAGCCCATCGACACCCAGCCGGGGATGCGGCCGGCTAGCTCCCTGGGCACTGGGCGCCAAAGCAGCAGGGTAGGTATTTAATGGCTTGTGCAGCCCTGATCCACCCCCTTAGCCTTGGAGGGATGGAGCTTTTTCCTCTGCCTTCTCCAAGAACTCATTTCCCCCGTTGGAATGGGAGTTCTCCCTCAAGTCCTCTGTAATTCCAATCCCAGCTCCTACTCCATCGCCAGGTGGTCAGGTACTTGGGCTCGACCTTTGCCAACTTACCCACACTCACATCCTCATTGGCTCCTGCCTCTCCATTTCTGACCCACTTTTTTTTTTTTTTTTGGTTTATTCAAATCGATTTTCCTGCAACGCTTTGGATCAGACCACCAGGCTGATTCTGCGCCTTGTCCCGTGCTCTCTCCTGTGGGCCTGCCTCTCAGGGAAAATCTTGCACATGGGAGATTTCAGAATGACATCAAGTGAGTGGTGTCCCCCTCTCCTCAATCCTGGCCACACCTCCCGGCTGAATCAGGTTTGGGGGAATGGACAAGAGGGGAAAAAAAAAAAAAAGAGGAAATCTAAGTAGTTATCACCTTACAAAGTCAGTGAACAGAAAGCCTAATTATAGCAGTTAATCACAAGCTACTTTTATAAGCATTGTATACTGACTTGTTATCTGTTCCAATAATGTCATAATAGCTCATTGTATATTATCTTCTCCCAAAGTAAACACCTCCTGTCCAGGAATCTTTCTGTCCAGTTCTTTGGTTCTCCAGAGCCCGGGGCCCGCTGCAGGGACGTGTGCCCAGGGCAGTTACACAGAGTCCCTGTGCTCAGCAAAGCCTCATATTTGAGATTAATGCTCTACAGTCACCATCTTGAAATCCTTAATAATTTCATCTTTGAATTTAGGCGGTAGAAGGGAAGTCTGATGGGACAAATGAGACATGTGCGGGGGGCATAAACCCTTGGCTCGGGAGCTATTGAATCTCTTGTGACCCGCGGGCCTTCCAAAGATTGGTCCTCAGCCCCCTAGCCCTCACCCTCTGGTGCCCCCAGCCTCACCTGGGAGAGTCAGGGTCAGGCACACACCACTGAAGTGTGTCAGAACGCATTTGGAGGGCAACTCTTGGCCACTCCTGATCCAGGTCCCAAGCACGCTGTGGAGTTTGCAATCTTATGGGTTGTTGTGGCAGTCCCATGGGAAGGGAGATGCCAGGCTCAACGTGGCATCAGTCTGGTGGCTGGAGGCAGGGGGCACCCAGCTACACAGTCCCAGGATAGAGAGCAGGGCCCCCAGGGCCTGTGAGTCTGCTCCTACTCTGGGAGGGTCCCCATACCCAAGGGAACACGACATCAAAGCGCACATGAAAACACCGCACCAGGTCAAGACAGAGGAGAGGGAAAGGGATCGTGGAACCAAGGAAAACATTTTATCTTTTAGAATCTGTGACAGTCTATGTTCCCTGCTTTTTAAACAAGAGGCCCCACGTTTTCATTTGGAAAAGCATCCCACACATTTTACAGCTATCCCCACCACAGTGAAATCTATAGGATCTTAATGCCACGTGGGACCTTCAAGGCCATCTGAATTTTAATTCCAAATCATCCGGTGCTAGCTAATGGCAACAGTTTCTCCGTCTATGCAATGATTTAAATAATTCCCTATATAATGTGCACTGAATCATGTGGTCAGGATGGCATACCTAAGCAGATGGAACATTGGAGCACTGGTTTAGCACGGATTTCCCCTCAGAAAGGTCCCTTCCTGTCCCCCTTCCCATTCTGCAGCAAAGCTGCCAAGTGGTCCTCGGGCCTTCCTTGAGTATCCTCAGGGAGAGACAACTCTCCTACCGCCTGACGAACTTGATTAGAGGAGGAGACGGGAAGGAGCAGAAGCAGCTAAGTGTCCTGGGGCAGTTTATAGACGACTCTATGAGTCAACCAAAGTTCTCTCAGGTTCCCCGTCACTGGCCTTCAGCAAT